AGGTCAGGATAGTCAGAGGGTACGACGCGTCTTTTTTGGTCTACTTTGGCTGCCGGGACGGGTCAAGCTGAGCCGACTTGAAAAAGACAGATATGTGAACTTGCTTTGGACGGCAGGGCATTTCGCAGGTCTTTTGCCTCACAGACTGATCATATTTGGGGAGAGGGCGGTACTGAGCCTAGGACATGATTTATGCCATGGAGCGGCAAAATAGACAGGTATACCAGTAGCATCGTATTCACTGATTTCAATTTACACGAATACAATCTGAAACGTTGCACGTGAGTCGAAAGCTGCCATTTCACCACAGGATATCAACATACAGTCAAGTACAGAAATCCCAGCTATCGCTGTCTGCAATAAATGAGTTCTGAGTCGTCCACTATTCATTCTGCATCCCAGAAAGGTATGCGGATCGCAGAAAATAGAAGGAACGCCTCCATGAAAGAAGCGTGGCTGCCCGCCGAGAAAGAATTAGTTAAAGCGGGAACCAATCTTGAGCGGCGGCAGACACGGGTATATTTTATACACCTGAGCTCCGGTGAAAAGAGACCGGAATGTATTCACGAGTTTCGATGTAACCTGCACTATCAATGTCACTCTCCCTTGGAACACCCGAAGGTCCAAGAGACGACATGATCCTTCGTTGCCTTCTGGATTAATCATGTAGTTGATATCATTGGTCCTTCAATCGATAGGGAGTGTAAACTTCACCGCAGTCTGCACGGTAGAGGCAAGCTTGGAGGAATAGTTTTCTGATCCTACATCACTGAAAGATGAAGAGTTCATAATCTAGAGACGGAATGAGGATATATGTCATTTTGGGAAATGGTTTACGTACCAAGGAACGCAGTTGTTATGTATATAGTTTGGTTCTTTTCCTTTGAAGACGGCGATGCTAATATAAAGAGGCTGAGTATCAACGTGAGTCATAGAACGGCAAATAGGAACAGTCATGTACTCGGTGAAGACATATCCAGACGAGTTCTTCTTGGCAAGGATTATTGATGTCGAACATAGCTTTCCTTCGGGTCGAGCGTCGTACTTTCCAACAATCACGGGCAATGTAATTGCGAACACCAATAATCTCAAAACCAGTCAGCTGCAGTCCTGACCATACGGAGAAAAAAAGCTGTCGTGGAAACAGTACGTTAGCTAGAAGCAGAGAGAACGAAGGTATTTATACCCGGAATGAAGAAGTACATCGTCTAGTCTCGTGAGGCGTATCTTGGTCCGACTTCATTGAATCGGAACAATAATCCTTCTGCAGTGTCATGCTACAACAGGGAATATAAATGATTCACCCTCAAAGCATCCTGCAGAATATAACCCGTCTCTACTCCCTTTCTTATTGTGCTAGACCTGAATTGCGACCTCGAGAAACCCTAATCTTCCATTTACAAATCGTCCTCTGATACCTCGCTCGCCAGTTGGTGTAGACTTTCAATTGAAAAATTTCCGGGAACGGGGCAAAGCAGAAGGGAGATGGACCAGTCAAGTGGGAAGTACAATCAAGGTTACGAGAAGGCCCTTGATCGAAGCAAGATACCCCGGACACTAAGTGCGCACGGGCCCGTTGCGCGCCGGGATTGTTTGGTACCCAGAGAACCAAACAAAGCGCACTTCTTCCCTCCATGCTACTATGACATCTACGCTCTCTAAAGACTGCCGACCGGTTCATGACCTGGATGACTCACGGTAACCAGCTTTTGAAGGGAGGAGATCGTAACCAGGTTCCCGTGCTCTATATTTCGACGGGTTTTTCTTGCACACGAATTCGAGGGACGTGCGCGGCCAGCATGGAGCATGCAAGGCGGACGACTTAGAGGACAGAAGTGCAGTACCTTCCCATGCCTGACGGGACTATGATACGCGTATCGCATGCAATACCAAACCTTTCCACGTGTTAGCATGTTAAACTTTAAGGTTTGCGCGCGTGCGCATCTCTGGTCCTTACTGCCGCTACCGACACACTCTCCCCACCTCCAGATTCTCATCGCTTCGCCCGAATGTAGAGTGGCCGTTTAGGTTCTGATGTGACGCTCGATTTGTGTTGTAGGATTGGACTTAGCGGTATCTAGACGGTAAATGAAGGGCGGGAGGGAAGAGGTATGTGCTCATTTTTCGTGTCGTTAATGTTTCAGCTCACACTATTTTTGCAGGAAGTCATGCATCCATGTCGAGTCGAATCCGGTAGGACCGATCGGGGATCCCTCCAAGCAAATTCTGTTCCTACGATACACCTTCGTCGCGTTGACGACCATGTGAAGTCTTTGCCTTTGTAATCAAGGCACAAATCGAGGACCACGGCTAGGGAGTCAACCAACGGATACCGCTCTTCACCCTCGTTTACCGGTCGTTCATCGCTCCTGCGCAATGGAACTTAGACACTATGCCAACCATACCTCGCCAGGCTTACACCGTGCGATTCTTGATTTTTTTCTGTCATTCAATCGCTGATGCATTATAGAAGGAACGTACGCTTCTGTCTTCGTTCAAAATTTAGTTGTCCCTGGGTTGTGAATCGTACGTCACCAGGATACTGTAAGAACCTAGCTAACGTATTCATGGCGCTATAGCTTCCTACACTTCTAAGTCCGATGTCGCCCCCCCTCCCCATCTCCCAGCTCCTTCGACGAAATCACGATGGCAGATCTAGGGCTTGATATCAGCAGCATCGGGAATGACGTCCGTCAGCTCAAATCAGAAACCATCCGACTCTCTTCACAAATCGACATTTCCAGTCTTATACTCGAAAAACATCACTCTTTGCACGCGCCGAACCGCCGCCTCCTACTAGAGTAGCTTGTATGAATATTCCGCCAATTGGACCTAGGTTCCATGTCGTTAAAAAATCGGGCACCGCTCGTTCCCATGGATGTGTCCGTGCGCGCCATGGTGTGACCTCGCTTTTCATATGCTAATGCTGTGGTCTGCAATGAGCATTGGCTCTTCGTTCGGTGGGAATTTGCATCGGAGCATACTCGGGAGTGTGGACATGCCACGCATGTCACCCTTACTCGCTCTGTTGTTCCGGCGTTCGAACGTTGTATTCCAACAAACCTTGCCCTCGAGAAGCTCGATTCTACGGGTCTTCTCAACTGTGCTCACGTCTCTCCGTACCCTCAGCTATACAGCACACCTGTTAGTTCCCCTCACATTACCAGATCACCGGTTCTACACCGTTTCTTACCCTCCTCGATGAAGCGGTCAGCTCGCCTCTTCTTCAAGTCGACTGCCAGGATTTTGTCCATAAGAACCCGACATGCCAAGCAAACTCCTGGAACGTTGTCTTCGCACTGAAGTACCTGAACCCTCATATACATGTCCTTCGCCATGCTTCACTCGCTCACTCAGTCTCACCTGTCATCCGTCATTATCCGGCTACGGACATTGATATCTTGAACAACCACCAGTCTGTCTGCGCGCGCTTAGAATCCGTTCTCTGACCAGACTCATCTGCTGCCCCATCGAATGCTTGGACCCCGTTGTCGGAACAGGAGAACGCGTAGGATGCTCCCTATTCGACACTTCTTCCTCATATTAAGAACTTGTGCACTACATGCAAGACGAGGGTACATAGGACGATGAAGAGAAGGAATGCCTTGTGGAACCTGGATACCAGGTTGTCGTAGTGGGTGAAGGTGAAAGCATAGTTTTGAAAGCAGAATAGCCGTGGATTAAAGATGAGGTTTTGTGTCATGTCGAGTTGGGATTGATAAAGCATTGTTCGATGTTATTGCAAGTGCTTTTGTGGGCTTTTTGTAGTAGCTTGTTCTACTCGAAGAGGACGACCGACGTAATATCATAATTGCCATCTTCGTCCCCTTTGGTCGGATATTGAGTACTAGTAGACGTTGGCGCTCAGATGGGGATACGCCTTTCGTTGTCATGCACGGATCATCAAGGTCGCATGGTCGGGCCGCCCAACCCCAGAATGATGATATCAGAAAGGTGTTGCGAAGAACTCCATGGTAGGCAACGCAGATCCGTATGCCAGAAACCAAGATACTCTATGGTTCCATCGCCATGAGATATTGACTTTCATTTCAGAGCTTAGATTTTCGAGTCGATCGTTGGTGAAGAAAATACACTTGAGTTGGATAATACTTCTGCGAGTTTTGGTGCAGCGTATTCGCAGGCACCAAGTTAATCATTTACCAACAAGGCAACATCAAGGACCCGAGGTAGTAGCTAGTTCCGGATGATACTAACTATCATACTGTATCATAGAGGAATAAATGCCAGACCATCATAACAGGACAACAGCATGGTTTAGCCTTGCGAATGTATACAGCCGGAACGTCCGTAAAGCTTCAGCAAGGGGATACTCAAACCCATATACGGGACTTGCAGAGCATAATACAGACAAATCAGACGTCGAGGTGTGCTGTGGACAACTATCACTGCTTTCAACACAACTTCTCAAAAAATTGTTCCCGGCATGCACGTCGACTAAGAGTTCCTCCTAACATATTCCGTCCTTTCTGAGCCAAACCCTCGTCGAGAACAAAAATCACGGACATGATTGGTCCTCATGCTTTATCTACTGTATGAAGTTTACGGCATCTTCAGCAGTGCGGCTGATGGAGAGCTGTGGCAGCCGTTGATGGTCCGGGCGCTAGTCTGTGTGACTTTCTTCTTACCACTAGGACAGTACGAGTAACGTCTCCTGTGCGACCACAGCTTCGTGGCAACCGCATCATCTCTGGTATGTGGTTGTCTATTCTTCGATCCGTGGTATCCTCATCCCACTACAGCTAGGAAGAGAGCCCCAGAAGCACAAGGAGAAAGAAACAGCGCAGGATATGTCACTGCCAGAGTCCTACCCGTAAGCACTTCAATACATGCACAGAAAGGCAAAAAATAACACGTTTCCGGGATTTTTTACACTTAGAAATTATGAGACACTCCCCGAAGTCACACTCTCCGCCCTCACAGAGACTGGTCAAGCAGAATTAACCATCCCAGTACCAAAGCAACGATCCTACACTGGTACCATGGTCATACAATCCGCTCTCGCTGACATTCCCTGCGCCAACCTTGGTATGAGTGGGGTCTTGAAGGAGCTGAATGCGACACTCGGCACATCATATACTCTCGACAACCCCATCTTGCCCTCCATTTTCGAATCCTTCATCAGACAAGATTATGACTTTGGCACCCTGTATGCTAATTTGCATCCGTTTCGGTATGACTTAACCACTGTCGAATGCATCCGCCAATCATGGAATCGGGATCAGGAAATGCGACAAAATCAAGTCAATAATAACAGAATCTCTGATGGAAATATTCCACCCCGGCGCATCTGGGATCTGTATGCTAATCGAGTGGTGCCATACTGGATCACCTGGCCTTCCCGTACAAGAGGGCAGTGGAAGATATCTGTCATATCACATGCTTGGATGTCTGAAGAGGAGCGCATGGATGTGTGGACACCTATCAATGGCTTTGAATGGCCTGTGCCAATACCCAAAGATGCGAACCTTAATCTCATCCGGATCGAAATGTTGAACCTTGGAGTGCACTATGTGTGGCTAGATGTTCTGTGTTTGAGGCAAGAAGGTGGGAAGAGGGAGGATTTGCGCAGAGAAGAGTGGAAGGTCGATGTTCCCACCATTGGATCTATCTATCGCAATTGCAGCCGGGATGTGGTGTATTACCTCAGCGGGCTAGGTCGACCTTTTTGTTTGAAGCCGGAGGACTTGAGAAGCGATTGGTGTTGGTTCAGGCGTGCGTGGATGCTTCAGGAGGTCAAGTCTATTATGCCTGCATATGTTATTGGTGGGGAGGCTGGTAATCGCTGGATATGTGAAGATGTACGAGCAAGGGTTGACAAACACCTTCAATCATTGAGGTTGTTGGGTGGTAACTTGTTTGATATTTTGCAGGAAATGCAGAATCAGGTATCAACAAAACCTCTTGATAAAGTCGCAGGCCTGGGATATCTTCTCTTCCGAGAGTCTATCCCGATATATGATGAGTCACAATCCGAAGAGGATGCCTGGGTAGCACTGACAGAAGTGATGGATGGGAAGTATCATTTGGAGTTGCTCCTCTTGTACCCTGAGCCTGGGAATGGATACAAATGTTGGCAACCTTCATGGAACGAGGTAATGGCTATGGTAACTATACCAAAGACTAGGATGTGTTTGCAGTCAGTGGACCTTCAGACTGATGAGACAGGTGTTGACTGGTATTGGGGTCCCTGTATCAAGTTGGGTAATCTGCGGGGATTGGGCAAGGTATCAAGCAAAATCATACCTCGACAGGGAGAGTTGTTGGTTAAAGATCACACTGGGCTATCCCATGTATTCAAGATCATTGCTGATCATACATACCTGATACCTGATAGCCCATATACCCTCATCGGCATGAGTTATTCTCCCTGTTATTATGATGAAACATCATTACATTGGGCAGTCGGGCATCAGTGATGGGATGGGAAGTTTGAAAAAGTGTCTGTGATCCAACTCACAGATTATAATCTAGATTTTTTGGAACTTTGGCCAATTCATAATGGAAAATTCTATCCTAAAATATTTCTTTGCTGAAAATAGGATAATGTTTTGCTTTGTACAAGTGTCCTGATAGAGAGGCAGGATAAAGAGCAGGGCTAGGATGTTGTTTACACTTGGAAGAGGTCTCAGTAGTCTCAAAATAGACATATACAGTGCACGCAGAAGATTGAAGATATCGTAGTTATTAATCCCAACATATGCAAATATCATCTAAGCATATGTATGGCGATTCGGAAAGTCGTTATTAAGCCAAGGATAGTGACATACACAAAGCAGGGCTATTGGTGGCACTGGGATCCAGAATCCTATAGACAGAAGGGGATACGATCACGGATATTAATCTGTTAAACGCGTTGGGAGGAATGAGGCATTGATATCAGCGCGAGCGAGATCAATGCATTCTATGGGACGAGATTTACAGTGGTTGTGGAAGTACATCTTTGATGAATACTGACACATACTCTGGCCCTGAGTCGTTTTGTTTAGCAAATGAGAAGAATAAACCTTCGGCGGGATCAAGGAAGGGATAGAGGGGGAATGACAGTGACATCTGACTCGAAATGATAGTGGAAGGACTTAGAGGTCGAGATCCACTTCAGTGAAGAGCGATAATAGGTCATCCAAAGTTGTGGCTCATGGTCATGTACCGTGCATCCAGGAGGATTGAGAACATCATAATCTTTGATTTCAATTCACATGAATACAGACCTGAAACGTTCCATATGAGTCGAAAGCCATCATAAAATGAAAAGATACAAATGTACAGTCAAGTACACAAAGCGCAGTTATCGCCGTCTACGATGAATGAATTCGTCGTGGTACATTATTCATCTTACAGGCATGCGGCAGATCATAGGGATGGAGGAAGAACCTCGGAGAAAGCAGGATTGCTGTCTGCTGCTACCGAGAGGCGGACGCCGAATACTCGTCACGAGGAACCTCATGAGATTGGGTTGATTAAGAAAGGGATACACCTTTCAGTGATGGCTGACTGGTGTACGTTCGATCTGCCTATACGAAGATTTAATCAATGGCTTCCAGTGAAGGAGAAGGGAGAAGGGTTGGTACTCACGAGTTTGATGTAACCGGTACTACTATTATTTCCCGGGACTTTGAAGCTGCACAGCATGAACTAGGTCGAAGTCAGTTTCAGGCTTAGCCGTATAGTTGGCGGTCTGTCCAACTGGGAGGTTTATTGTGATAGCGGTCTACATATCGCACAGGAAAGGAAGCGGGGGTTGATGAAAGACGAATTCAAAATCTAAAGCAGGGCGGAGGATACATTTCGTTGTGGAGAGGGGTATACGTATCAAGGAATGCGCGAGGATCCGCTCTCAGTGCTGTCCTCAACGTAAACCCAATGTATATATATGGTGACTGACGAACTACACAGCCTCGGACCATTGTCAGACTTAACGGAAGAACGGGCCGGGGTGGTAATAATACGTTAGCTAGAGAAGGAGAGAATGAAGAAATATATACCAGTCTTTCACTGAACGTGAAATGAGGAAATGCATCGGCATCGAATAGTGAGTTTGTCCATCAACTCGAAACAATAATCTTTATCCAGCATCAGAACGTTATAATGAACAATGGAAATGATGCGCTATCCTCAAAGCTGACTGCTGATCGAGCCATCCATCCACGACGTGAATTGCTAGCTCGATTCTACGGATCACCAGCTAGCGATCCTTCGCCTCCGTCTTCTTGATAGATGCTCCGCCGATTTTGAGATGAAGTTTTGTGTTAGGTCCATAGTGTAGAATACCTATTGAAGAATTTACGGGAAGATAACACTGGAAAGTAGGATAGACGAATGAAGTGCGAGCGCAATGAAGGTTACGGTAAGGAAGATCTTGATTGATTGCCGTTGGCGGTACCCCAGACACCATGTACGCACGGGCCCGCTACGCGCCGTGATTGTTTGGCACTCAGAGAACCAAACAAAGCGTGCTTCTTTTCTTTTTGCCTTCATGTTCTGCCCTCCCTTAAAGACTGCCAGCTGCTTTATAAACTGGACGACTCACAATAACCAGCTTTGGTGGGAGAAGACTAACCAGGTTCGTGCGCTACACCTTTCGACCGGTTTTCTATGGACGCAAATAGGGACTTCCGTGTCACTCTGGACACACCTGGTCCTTGCTGCCGCATCCTCTTCACCCCCACTGTCTCGTCGCCTCGCAGAATGCAGATTGGCAGTTCCAGTGTTCTGACGTGATGCTCGAGTTGTTCTATAGGGATGGACGTGTTGGCGGTATATGGTCAGCGAAGGACGGGAGTGAAGAGGTGTGTACTTGTTTGTCCAGTCGTTGTTTTACGCTGCTGACGGTATTATTGCAGGATTCCAAGCATCCATGCTGAGTTGAATCCGGTGGAATTAGATCTGGCGTCTTTCCAAGTACGTCTTCCTCCCACGATGCATTCTTCATCGATTTGACGACTACATGTAATCCTCACCTTTGCAACGAAGTAACCATTCCAGGGCCTGGATCAAGGAGTCGACGGCCGGGCGCTTTTGTCTGCCCCGTTTATCGCCCGTTCGTCTCTTATGCAAAGGAGACTTGACGCTGTAAGATTCATTATTTTCTAACATTCAATTGCTGATGGATTCATAGATCACCATCAAACGCTAGGAACGTGCATTTCTGTTCTTGTTTAACGTCAGTTATCATCGGTTCGCCAATGGTATGTTCCCGGGAATCTTTAATGCGCTAACTAACCTTTCCTCAGGTATTTACGACGACATCTAAATGATGTCTTCCCTTGTTTGCGAAACTCTGATGACCAAATCATGATGGGAAACGCAAGGCTCGATGTGATCAACGTCTGCGTCCTCGTTCAAAGCCGGCCGGACGACATCCATCGTCTTCAATCAGAAATAGCCTGCCTACACACGATTCCAGTCTCAGGCTCGAAAAATATCACTCTTTCTGGGCAGCCTATCTACCGTCTTCCCCCGGATCGACTTTTGTCAATGTTCCGTCAATTGGAAGAACCATCCCATGTAATTCAAAGATCAAAAAACGCTCGTTCTCTGCTGCGTTTGGTATGGCGTGACCTTGTTGCACATACGCCGACAGTTTGGTCTGCAATGAGCGTGGGCTCTTCGCACGTTCGGTTTGCATCAGAGTATCTTCGGGAGTACGTCATCCTCTCTGGTTCTGCCGCTCCGGCATTCGAAGACTATTCCAACAAACTGTGCGCTGGAGGCGCTTGATTTACCAGTCCTTTCGATACCACTCGCCTCTCCGTTCACCTCGCTGCATACCTCTACCACCTCGAATGTGTGATCATCGAGTCTACGTGACTTGACACCCTCGTCGACGGTGTGAATCAGCACCTCGACTGTTGAAAGTGTCCTGCCCCGGACCAATGACCGAATTGAAGCATAACCTGCAACTTGCTCGCCCTCTGTCCACAACAGCCTCGCATAGATTTCCTTCTCAGTCCTTCACGTGTCACATCCCCAAACTGGTTTTCCACCGCTCATCATTCCGGCGATCGGCCGGGCGCGCTGATCTTCCTCAGCACCTCACTCGTTCCCTTACCAGATTCGTCTCGAACTCTATCACCTGCTGAAATTTCCTTGAAAGCAGGGAGAACGCATACGATGTGCTCGATTCGATAGTTCTCCTCAATCTTGAGGACTTGTGTAGTACGTGAGGGTATGCCGAGTATTTTCCTCTTTGCCCTTACGACTGCGAATTCGAGTGGCTGTATTCTATGTCGTCGAATCCCTCATCTGTGATCTACCGAAGACTCCGGAACGGTTCACGAACTGGATGAACCACGGCGCAGGATCTAGCTTTTGAAGAGTGAGAGGACGTGTAAAACCACGAAGCTTGCAAATTGTACGTCGCCAGGATTCTGCAAGGAGATAGCTAAGCCATTCTCAGGTTCATTATGCCCGGCTACATAACCACTGCAATACCTCCCATGCTGCCAATGTCGATGTCCCCTCTATTTCCTGACCTGCTCGCCCAGCTCTTTCGACGAAATTACGGCGACAGATGTAAGGCTTGATATTATCGTCATCAGCAGCTTTATCTAATCCCGGCGTCCATTAGCCCCTATCAGAAATCATCCGAGTCTTTGCACACGCCGGAATGAGGTTCCATCTGTTCAAAAGTCCGGCAACGCTCGTTCTCATGGGTGTGTGCGCGTCATGGCGGCATGCTCGGGAGTCCAGACACCTCACGCATGCCTCATTGACTTAGTCACACTGGCGTCGTTCTTGAGCCAGATAAGCTTAATATACAGGTCTTCTCGAATCCACTCGCCTTTCTCCATGCCCTCCGTGTTGGGCGACTCTACAACACCCCTTTTAGCACGTTCCCCTCCCTCCACTGCTGAGGAAGGGCGATCGTCGACTCTACCCACAATATAACACTCCGCGATGACCCCAAATAGCTCACCTCTTCGAGTTGGCTGTCGGGTTTATTCTGTTATCATAGCCGCGCGTACATATTCTTCCCCGTACTTCGTTCCCTCACTCTCAGTCTCTCACATCCCTTCATCATCCCGGCCACGGACATTGATGCACCAACAATCATCCCAGTCCATATCTGTGCATGATCATCTTCAGCGACCCTCTCGTTACCCGCAAACCACTTTGATCCCGTCATTATAAATGAGAGGGTGTACATCGCGCTCGATTTCACATATCGCTCGCTCCGCTTCGTTCTAAGCAACGTAATCATGTACGATGCGTTTGAATCAGATCTTCTTCGCCATGATGGGGGTTGAGGATTACGTCTGCTCTCTCATAAACTGCCGACGTTAGGTTTTCATCGGGGTATATCTGGGAGTCTAGACGTCAAGTCATCCTCTATGGCTCTTTCTCCTCCGCATTCGAAGACGATGTTCCCGCAAACCTTGCGCTCGGAAACACGAATTGCCGCGTCTTCTCGACTCTG